TACAATAGAAATATATCAGATAACAATTTCAAATAATACATAACCTGAAATAATTAAAACACTACATGATACATTTAATAATTAAACTCATACATAATTAAATTGAAGAAAAATATGAATAAATTTTCATAAGCAAATAATACAAATCGGATAATTAAACCCATAATTATCTCTCAAATTTCATAAAATCCATATAACAATTACAAACAATACCTAACCTAAAATAATTAAATCATTATCATACATCTGATACTTTTACAATATGAACTGAACGAAAACACAACATCTATTTGTAAATGAATGAAACAAATTAAATTATATCCTCTTATTACTTTACAAAATTAAATAAAAATCCCCTTAACCAAAATGGCAATAGTAACAACGAAAAAAAAAAAAAAACTAAGTATCCAAAGTGTTGTTTCAAAGTAAGAGGAAGTAGAGAATGAAACACAGGTAGAGAGAAAGAGAATAAGGTGGAAGATGGTAGCGATGCTGGCAGTGGCAATTAGCATGCTCGAGGAACAAACGAGCTAGTCGGTCGAGCTAATGCATCGATATACTCACGGTCTTGAGAATAATTATCGGCTGTTCTCCAGCCTACTGTAGTCAAACTAAAGAAGAAGAAGAAGAAGAAGAATAAGAAGAAGGAGAAAAAAAAACAAACGTAGAAGAAGAAGAAGAAGTAGCAAACTTGAATGCACGCGCACGAGCCTACCTTGAGTGCTACTTTAAAGGCGACACCAAAGTCAGCAATTGCGGCATCGAAAAGAAGAAGTAGAAGTAGAAGAAGAAGAAGAAGAAGAAGAAGAAGAAGAAGAAGAAACTGCAACAGCAACGGTGATATAGTTGCGGCACGACCTGCAACGGTTGCCCACTCGATGCGATCGCGTCGAGTAACTGGGAACCGGTCACCTTTTCCCTCTTCTTCCTCCTTTTTCTCTCTTTCACTTGTTTTTTCTTTTCTTTTTCTTTTAAAGAGAGTCCTAGTAGGACTGAATTATTGTCGGTGAACACCGGACACTCGCCAACACGCTTCGTCGTTTAACCCCAAGCTCAGGGTCCCAGCCCTGTAGCACATTCTTCCCATCGTTGAGTTTTCTCCGCCAGAAGATGTGGAATTCTCTGATTCTTTCATCTCTCTCTCTCTCTCTCTCTCTCCCCCACTCTCTTTCTCTTTCTCTTTCTCTTTATCTATCTATCTTTTTTTTCGTATCTTTTTCTTAACCGTACATAAAATTTTACTTTCATTTTATTTGCATTTGTTTTATCTTTTTTTGTTTTGTTTTGTTTTTTTTGGTTTTCAAATTTATTTTTGTTTTTGGGTTTTGTTTTTTTTTTGTATGCATCGATGGATTTCCTTTCTTCCCGTTTTGTCCGTTCACGCTTTATCTCTTCGTTCCAGTCACCTTGGGATTTACGATCAACGAAACTACAAGCGCGGTTTCGTGCCTCGATTCGTTACAGGAACGCGCCGGTATAATTATACGGATTATCTTAAGATTAAGCGGCTATTTCCTTTGTAAAAGGAGGTCTATGCATGTATGTATGTTTGTGTAAGTGAATGTGTATTTGAGTTTAATATATGTGTTAACATATGACATTGATTGAAACATCTTTTTAGTAATTTTATGTATCTTACGTAGTTTGTTTTACTTCTTTTTTTTGGAAAATCATTAGTTTTAGTTGCTTCGTTTGTTCACACAGTTAAAAGTTTTTATTATTTTTTTTTTTATATAAAATATGTTTCTGGAAACAGGTATATAATTACTTTGAAAAAACTTCACAAACGTAATTACAATATTTAACTAAAAAAATTATAGTTAAACTAAATTAATATAAATATTATAAACCTTGACGCAACCCTGACTCAATCCTGATTCAATATCAAAATAAAAATAAATAAAATCGAATAATAAAACCATAATAAAATAAAATCAAACAAAATGAATACAAATGAATCCCACGAAATTTTAACCCAATCAAACAACATATTTTCCAAAGAAAATAATCAAACCAAAAATAAAACACCTTACCAACATCCTGCAAAATGATCAATCTAAAATAAGAAAGTTGTAAGAATGTGTATAAAAAGTAAAGAAAAAGCACAAATCTAATCGAGGTATGATTATCTCGATCACGGGGGCTTGGGTTGAGTGAGGAGGGGATTGGTAAGCCAATACAAGAGACGACGTAACATGCACGTGCATAAATCGAGGAACGTGCGACAGTTGGGCAAGCAGGAGGAAACATCGTGCTACGTGGCATGAACGACACGCATTAACGCTATACTACCACTCTCGATGGCCATAATGCGTTGAGCACGATGGCTCACGTTTTTCGAGTCCCTACCCTACCCCTTTCTCACCTAACCATCCAATTTCCCTCTCTCTCTCATAGCCCCCACTTAAAACCCTCAGCCCCTCAGCCTCCTCCCCGGAAACCCCAGCCCATCCAGAACCCCCTAGAACCCCTCTTTGCTCTTCGATACAATAGCCGAGCGAAGTTTCGACAATATGTTTTGGGGCCATAGCAAAACGAGGCAACGGATGGATGAACAACGGACAACACAACGGATGGATGAATCGATCGTGAGGGTTGCTATAACTCGCTTACTGCACTCTAACTATCTCTATCTATCTATATTTCTTT